TCTCTTCAGTGGACCACTGCTGCTTGCTAAGTTTCTCCATCGTTGTGTACAAACTGGATAAAACGCCGGCTTTTTGTTGTTGTTCAGGAGTTTTACACAATCCTTTTCCCATGCCATTGCTGTCAACACCTATCCATGCTGAACGTTGCTAAGATATTATTGATTGCGGTGTGTCCAAAAGTGCAATATGGTTCAAAATGTAACTGACTGCCAACAACTTGCATTTCAATGACAACTCTAAATAACGATCCTACCTCAAGAAGCATGTCCTTGATCTGCTTCACGAGATTCATTTTGAATAAAAAGCGATATCACAATAGTAACCAAAGTATTTTTACTCTCACAGTAGCCTCTACTGCTTTGTATCCTCTCAGAGAACTATCCACAGTTCAAAGGCTGCTCATTTTGGTCAAACAGCAATTTGCTATACAGTGCAACTACAAGGCTATCTACTGTAATTGAATGACAAAAGATGACACTCACCTTAAAATGTCCTTTGTATATTTCTATTTGTCTTAACTGTCGGAGCTTGTCCAGGCATGTTCAGTGGGAGTGGACTTGAAATCCTTAACTCAAGGTGTAGAACAATGAAGTGATCAAGCCAATTGTATTACTTACTACAACTTGAATTTTGTTTTAAGTCAATTAACGCAGAAATCAGAGTTCAAATTACACACAATATTAAGTTGATGTAATTACCAACATTATTACGTCAACACAACTTATAAATTAATGTTTGCAACTTAAAATGTTTATCTAAATCAATTAACTAACATTTTATCTTGCAACCATGCATTTAATGAAGTGGAGTTGAAAGGTCGCCTGAATTCGTTTTTAGAGTGTATTATTGTATTATTGTTTTAAGTGTCGGACCCCAGGAAGAGTAGCTTTAGTCGAGAGCAAAAGCTACTGGGGATCCTTAATAGACATAAACATACCGCACATGCTCAGTCCGTGTGACTGCTCTGATCTCATTATAGTAATCAGTTTTAGCCCCCTCCTCTTCATCACCGTGGATCCAACATGCTCGTGTCTAAATGCTTTCATATGTTTTTAATCACGCCTCGTGTTCCAGAATTGGACAATGTGATAATTGGCGTTCATATTTCCTTTTCAGAACTGCAGATTTTAGGGACTTTGTCACTGCTGCTGCTGCTGCTCACAAATCAACAGGCATGAGACCTTTAATAAGTCTCCACTGCTTCGATGATAATGGCGGGGGGGTGTAATTGAAGGAATGCATGCTCTCTTTGGGAGAAGCTCGTTGTTGGTGCAGCAGAGGAGCGATTTGATGGTGATGATGATGAGGAGGAGGGTGTGATGTGTCTCATGACAGCAGGAAGCGTCGCTGCTGCTGGGCGATCACATGGCCGTCAAATAAATCGTCTTTATCACATGGAGACTAGTGTGTGTTCATATCACCTGCAAAACACACACTAATGCATCATGGGAGTGAGACATGAAGCACGGAAACAAAAGTGAAGCACACTTTACTTTCACTTGGATTAGAACGACTGTTTATGTTTTCTGTTACTGTTTCGGATTTTATGTAAAGCGTCCAATGTATTATTATTATAAAAACACCTAAACCGCATTGATGTTTAAAGCCTTCTCTGCACACCGCTGCTCTCACACGGCGACATCTTGTTATTCTGTCATGTGCTCATATTAGTCCTTTGAGAATGGATTTGTAGAAGTTTTTGCAATGTTTCCTCTGCAAGATACAGTCTGTCTACTGACGTGTGTGTGTGTGTGTGTGTGTGTGTGTGTGTGTGTGTGTGTGTGTGTGTGTGTGTGTGTGTGTGTGTGTGTGTGTGTGTGTGTGTGTGTGTGTGTGTGTGTGTGTGTGGTGTGTTGTGTGTGTGTGTGTGTGTGTGTGTGTGTGTGTGTGTGTGTGTGTTTGTGTGTGTGTGTGTGGTGTGTGTGTGTGTGGTGTGTGGTGTGTGTGTGTGTGTGTGTGTGTGTGTGTGTGTTGTAGGATGCTGAGGCCACGAGCTCCTTTCTGCTTCCTGCGGTCTTTGACGGCCGGGTCTCGGCTCAAGGAGTCGCTCATAAAAACCCAAACAGCTCCGGTGAGTCCGTGGTGCACATTGTTACACGCAGATCTGGGTTTTTCAAAAATGCAAACATACAAGAATATTTTTTCACTCATTTAATACATATTCTATATTAATGGAACCTCTGGGCTTTTTTAAAGTATTTATTTTAGTATTTTATAGGATTTTTGTATTTATTTTTCACTTTTTGTACAGTATTTTCCTTCATATCTTGCTGTCTTTATTGTATATATATTCATGCTTCTTAATTTATGTCATTTGTCCTTGATATATTTAAGTTATGCACCAAAGCAGACGAACGAAAATACACGAATAATCTAAAAATAATGTGTTTTTTTAACGTATTTTTTAATATATATATTTATATATTTATTGAATTTCATTTTCTCCTCTAAATATTTGTACAGTATTCTTGAATTCTTCTGTTATACGTCTTCCGTATGTTGTTGTTTTTCTTTACTCTATAAAAGATGTTTCTTTAAAATATGAAGTCGTATTTTTCATCGACTTTTTTTTGTATTTTCAACCAATTTTTTTTGTTTTTTCTTATTTTCTCAGACATTTTCTTAATAGTTTTCCTGTGTTTTCTTTAATAGATGTTCCTCTATAGGCCCTAGTGACGTGTCCCTGCCTCTCACGGTGTAAGTGCCCCCCCTCCCTTCAGATGCAGTAATTTGCTCTGCAGGAGTGCACTATTCTCTCTTTCTGAGAAGCGTTTTGAGCTCCTTACAGTGAACACAGCCGGCCTCTGTGTGCCTCACATTTCCTCCTGGACTAATCCCCCCCGACAGGAAGTCCCGCCGCCGCTCGATGTGCGGCGTGGAGGAGGATCGTTCACCTGTATCAAAGTTTCTTTGTTTAGTCCATTCTTTTATTTTTGTAATTCAAATTTTAATAGAATTTTTCATTCAGCAACAAAGAAACATTGGCGATAAACTGCATAAACAAACCCCAACGACACTCCTCAGCATTTTCCGTTCAGTCCATTGTTAAATTAAAAAGACAGGTTTCCTGACTGATGTACCTGTACCTGAACACACCTGTTCTTCTCCGCGGGGCGTCTCACTCTCCTCTTTTCTCCCTCAGTGGGCGTGAAGTCTCGGCCTCACATCTACTTCTGCCGCTCGCCCAACATGGAGGACTTCAGCTGCTGGTGGCGCCCGCTGGAGAACCTGACGGAGGAAGTGTCCTACGTCCTCACATACTCCAAAGAGTATGTGAAAAACATTTTAAATCCTGACATCTGAGAGCCTGGAACCATCTAGCTCTCTCATTATTTAAGATAGAAGTCACTTAATGATCTGATTGACTTTAGAGGAGATGAAACCATCTTAGCTTCACATTCTCATATTTAAAGACCTTAAATGAGCTGTAAATTAAAAAGAGATGACCTTAAATGATCTGTAGTAATATGGAAAGCGGCACAGACTGACGGTTCTGGGTCGTATAGATTTTAAACCATTTCACGCTCCACCACCTCAGCGAGAAGCTATTTAACACGTCGATATTTCTGCCCCTGAATGCCTCACGTGGCGTCGCCCCGTGCAAACACGTCAGAGCAGAAATCAGGACACGTTTGATTTCTGACGGCAATCTGCATTCAGGTGATAAGAAAAGGTCAGAAACAACCGCGGATAAAAGGCAATTAAAGTGATAACGATCAGTTAACAACCTTAAAGGCTGCAGGTCTGTTTCTGATCATTACATCCAACAGATTAGATTTAATATAAACATGCCGCAGTAATTTAACTACAATAAGATGTGCAGAAAGTAAAAGTGTGTTTTTTCCATCAAAAACTGATTTAATGTTTTCATTTCAGCTTCTAATGCTGCAGTGATGTGGCCTTTGCATCCCTATAGAGCTGGAGCCAATCAAACTATTTAAATTATTTGTGATTAATTATTTAACCTACATGGGAAATAAGTGGGAACATTTGCATCATATCAGCAACAAAACTGGAGTGTTAGAGCTCAAGTTTGACACGAAACAAATCATTTCTGACGGCTTCTCACGCTAAATTGAAATGACAATGTGAAAGGTGAAATGAGAGATTGTTAGAAAACTCTCACTCGTCCCATACAGAGTATCAACTAGTTCCTGAACAGTGTCCTTCACATGCTACTACTACTACTCAAACTTATACTACTAACACTACTACTACTACTCCTACTATTACTACTACTACTACTCCAACTACTACTACCACACTGTTAGGAAAATATCACTGGTCAGCAGCTTGAGCTTCGATATCAGGATCCATGTATTTATGACATACTGTATATCACATACAGAGCATCAACTAGTTCCTGAACAGTCAATCAATCAATCAATGTTTATTCATATAGCTCAATATCGTAAATGTTACATTTGTCTCAGTGGATTTCACAGTTTGTACAGAATATCAGTATGACAATACGACGTCCTCTGTCCTTAGACCCTCTGTCCTTAGGCCCTCTGTCCTTAGGCCCTCTGTCCTTAGACCCTCTGTCCTTAGGCCCTCTGTCCTTAGGCCCTCTGTCCTTAGACCCTCTGTCCTTAGGCCCCCTGTCCTTAGGCCCCCTGTCCTTAGGCCCTCACATCGTACAAGGAAAAACTTCCAAAAAAGGAAAAACCTATCATATGCCTCAAACAGTCCTGATGCTCTTCTAGGTAATCACACATCCTGTGATGTTCACAGCTACAGTTGATACCTTTGTTATCATGTTACTCTCATGTTGGAAGAGGACACTCAGTATTTTCCCAACAGAGATGTAAATAAAGAGCTTTTTGTCCCCAAACTAAACCGTGGTGTCTCGCAGCAAGGAGCCTCAGCAGGAGTGTCCGGACTACGTGAGCTCCGGACCCAACAGCTGCCACTTCGACAAGAAACACACCATCATCTGGAAGTTTTACTGCCTGAACGTCACCGCCGTCACCAAACACGGGAACTACACTTCCCAGAATCACTGCCTGGACGTGGCCGACATAGGTGAGGAGTAGAGCGGTGCAGGAATGATATATTTCTGTAGTTCGACCCGGAAGTAAGCTGCTGGTTCCCTCGACAAAAAAGCAACGGGATTGCTCCATAGGACTTTGGAATATGTAAAAAATAAGGTCTGTGGAAAACTAACCGGTTTGATAAATGTTTTCTTCATCCGGATAATCTCCACACGTCTACCCTACTTTTATAATGTTGGAATCATAAATCTAATGTCCAGAAGCTAAAGGCTAACGTGATGCTATAAAGGAACTACAGCCGAGTCCAGCAGCACGACTTCAACGTCACGCCAACTTCAGATCCATATTCAAACATACAGATTCTAAAGTGGACAAGTTGAAGTGTTTGTTTGAACAGTTTGCAGGAAGCAGGGACTTGCTTTCAAGCAGAACAGAAACAAACTTAGAGGAGTGTTTACATTGTCGGCGTAATGACGTACAACG